CAACATGTTAATGTTACTGATACATGCTAAACAGTTTAATATTGATACAAAATTTGTATCAATATTAAACTGTTTAGCATGTATCAGTAACATTAACATGTTGTTTGTATCAATATTAAACTGTTTAACATGTATCAGTAACATTAACATGTTGCAACATGTTAATGTTACTGATACATGCTAAACAGTTTAATATTGATACAAAACCTCTACAAACAACATGTTAATGTTACTGATACATGCTAAACAGTTTAATATTGATACAAACAACATGTTAATGTTACTGATACATGCTAAACAGTTTAATATTGATACAATAAAGGAACTAAACACTAAAGTTGCTTATGTATGCTAAAACTTTAATTCTACAAAAATCTTTTACACATAATTTCCTTGTGTATTTACTAATATTAACTTCCGATCAAAGGAAGATACATAGATAGGTCTGAAAAGATACACCGACCAATGTAGCATTGAAATTATCTTATTTATAATGTTTCTTCAGTTAGATAACCCAACTGACATCTTCGGTCAACAAAGACAATAATGAACTTTTAAACATATTCTTTGATCCTAATTAACTTCATTCCCTAAACCAAGCTCATTACTTCATTTATTTACTGGCACTAGAAACAAAGGAGCTTTATATTCCAGACTTAGTGTGTTTAATCAACTATGAAATCAGACCCTTATTTAGAAAATGGACCAATAGCATCTACTTTATACAACTTTAGCTTTGGGGTAATAACATTTGAAGAATGATTCAACTTAAAATGTCCACTTCCAAAAACAGGCAAGAGACTTATTGTGAAGTTTAAGTAAAAAAATAACTTTGCTCACTTAATTCATGCTAACATAAAGTATAATAAAACATTTCATCAAAGCGGTAACCACCTTAGATTTAATGGATTGAATCATCTCATTTATCTTCTGGGAAACCTCCTGAAACTCGGCATTTGTATTCTGAGAAGGGTTGCTTCGGAACTGCTGCTGTGGAAATCTTTGAGACATACCAACTCCGGTACCTGAAGAAAATGGATTAAAATGAGGAGGTAAGAACCGAGTTGTTGCGAGTGTATGATAGCATGCTGACCCAGAGTGAGTTGATATGAAACCCAGTTTCAGTGCATTATAAACCTTCAGACTTGCCACTGAGCCACTAGGGGATGTTGACATACTAAGACACTGTTCCTTTGTTAATGCATATATATGCATAAATGAATAAGTTATAACTTGTCATATATTTGACATATTACTCTAATATATTTTGTTCAACATATGCTTTGAATTGACACAAAAATTAGATCTTTGCGACTATAAAATAAATACAGGTTTACAGTTTATTTATTAGTGTCATAAATCTGGTCATCATTTTTAAACTGTATTGAATATTTTTATAATTGACTCGTAGCTTATGTGACTTGCAAATCAATATTTGAAATTAAATCATTATTTAATGCTAATTACCTCATCATTCTAATGATAAACTTTTCTGGACTGGTTTTTATTAGATTAAGGTTAGTAAGATGTGTTTGTTTTGAACAGTTAGTGTTTTTCAAACCTTCACGTTCCGCTTCATACTCCTGCCAAGCTGACTGTCGCTCCTCCTCTGTCAAGTCTTCCTCCGGATTGTTCTGAAGCAGTGAGTCATGTTCGTGATAAGAGACAATCCAGTCAGCATATTGGTACAGTAAGTCAGCAAGGAGTCGATCCTGGTGGTTCAAGTAATTATGATTACTTATAGCATTTACAAATGGCTTGTTATATAATCCCACGATTCACTATACGTTGTTATCTCAAAATATCTGATAATGGTAACTATATTCCTCTATCATTTAAAAACAATTGGCTGTGATGTCAGGATGGATTTGTCTAATTCCATAGTTCATTGTGATAAGAACCCAAAATATGTTATCTCAAAATATCTGATAATGGTAACTATATTCCTCTATCATTTAAAAACAATTGGCTGTGATGTCAGGATGGATTTGTCTAATTCCATAGTTCATTGTGATAAGAACCCCTGGCTGTGATGTCAGGATGGATTTGTCTAATTCCATAGTTCATTGTGATAAGAACCCAAAATATGTTATCT